CCCCCCCCCAAAAAAGAAAACTAAATCTAGATCCTTATATATCATTCTGCACCAGAATCAACTCCAAATGGATCAAAGACCTTGGAGTCAAAGCAGACACTCTGAAAACATTACAGAACAGAATAGGAGAAACCCTAGGTCTCCTTGACACAGTCCGAAATTTTCTTAATAGAGACCCAGAAACATAACAAATCAAAGAAAGGTTGGACAAATGGGATTGCATGAAATTGCAGAGCTTCTGCATGGCAAAGGACATAGCTACCAAGATCAATAGGAAGCCCATGGATGGGGAGAAGGTCTTCACTAGCCATACAACAGACAAGGTTCTCATATCTAAAATATAAGTGGAACTCAAAAAAATTAAATCCCACAACAACAAATCCTCAAAGAAACAGCTGCCCAATAAATAAGTGGGCTAAAGACTTAAAGAGGAACTTCTTTGAAGAGGAAATAAGAATGGCCAATAGACACATGAAGAAATGCTCAACCTCTCTAGCCATAAAAGAAATGCAAATCAAAACAGCATTGAAATTCCACCTCACCCCAGTTAGAATAGCTATAATCAAGAACTAATAAACAATAGATGCTGGGGGGGGGGATGTGGCCAGAAGGGAACCCTACTGCATTGTTAGTGGGAATGTAAACTTTTTTACTTTTTATAATAAATTTATTTTTATAGAGGTGACAAATAGAGGGGTTACAATTACATGAGTCAGGTATTCAGTAAATTTCCTTTGGTACAGTGTCTTCCCTTCCCTTATGTTCTCACAGTCCCTCTCTCCCATCTCTACCCATGAGTTGTATAGTTCACAACTCACTTTCATTCATGTCCAGTGAATTCCACCACTGTACTTTTTCACCCTTTTTCCCTTGAGTTCTATACCCTCCCTACCACCCTTCTGAAGATAGACATGTGAATACACCATACATAAAAAAAGAAGACAGAATCATCAAAAATAAAAATTAAAAAGAAAGAGCTCTCATTTCCATATCTTGGAGTTTGTTTGATATATGTGTATAAACATATTTATGTACTATATATATATATATATAAAATACACACACACACACATACACACACACACACACACACACACACACACTAAGAGGCACATAGGCATTGCACTTTTGTTTTTCTGTTCTAAGAGTAGATTGCAGTTTGAAACCAGCCCGGGCAATATAGTCTAAAAGAGTCCATGTCAAGGGAGGAAGTTGGCATTGTAGTGAATGACTCTCATTCCAACCCTGATGGCAAGTAAAAAATAGGATGAAAGTCCAGGGCTTTGCCACAACAGAAGCAAGTCTTTTTCTCAAAAATCACCAGCACAGAAATGTCTGGAAGAATGACTCAGTGTTAAAGGACCAGCTTAGTAAATAGGAATCCCTATGGTCAAGCATTTCATCAAACCCCAAATTTACGATACCTTTCAATATACTTATTATTTCTGCTTTAATATTGCCATTATCTTTAGTTAGAATGAGGGTTACCCTGAACAAATTGTTGCATTCAGTTCAAATGGAGGTCAAATACTCGTTTGATAGGACATTTAGAGCATACACTAAAGTTCACTATGAAAATTTATCTACCTAGCTGATCCAAAGATGCCCTTCAGGATTTCCTAGAAGATTATTATTAATTTTCTCATCAAAAGCAAGGGAAGCCAGAGAGATGTAGGTCAATCTATTCAGCCTTGAACATACTAATTACCACACCTCAAATCTTGTCAACAGAAGACATTCCAGCATCTGGCTCTCTCAGAAATGAATGAATAATGACAACACAAAGATGGAGGAATTTATTTTTATCTAAAGCTCTACCCTAAAAATGTGGGATTGAAAAAGTGGGAATTTCATCTTCTGTAGAGGTGTTCTTTAGATGTATGAGTAAAGAAGAATTCTGGGAATGGTTCGGTTATGAATGTTTATATAAACTAGGCCTCTTTTTCTTTTCTACCTAATAAGCAACTCATGTGACTTAAACCCATAAATAGTAATATATTAAGACACCTATTGCATGCAGTTAGCAGCTTTGACTTGAGTCATAAGGATGAGATCCAGGGCTTTAAACATGTGAGACAGGGCCTAAACCATTCCCTGACTAGTCTTCACCTTAAAATGCTTTT